TTGCTGCACTGTACACCTAAAATATTTTAGTAACATTAAAATATTGTGACTGCTACTGGCTTATAAAAGTGTGGTCACCCCATCGGGTCCTGGGGGTGTCAATGCAGTAGCTACAGTAAACCTTGTAACATTGTGACAGAAGTATGGTCACACTTACCTTAATCTCATTACAATAAAACATTGAATACCAAATTTTAAAACACTTCTCGTGTTAGGTAAACAATTTTTTGGAAAACTTCCAAAATTTCACCGCAGGCAGGATTTGAACCTGCGACCTTCGGCATCAGTACTGCCGACGCCCTAACCAACTGGGCTACCGCGGTTCTAATCGAGCCCGCGAAATTATGGAAGTGTATCTTGTCCACTATCGCGTGGATGGGCTCCATCTACCGGGATAGTTTTGCAACTAATTCCCAGTGACTAATTCATTCTTTACAGATTGAATGTAGTCAAAGCGATGAAAACCCGCGATAAATTGAATACCAAATTTTAAAACACTTCGTGTTAGGTAATTTTTTTAAACTTCAAATTTCACCGCAGGCAGGATTTGAACCTGCGACCTTCGGCATCAGTACTGCCGACGCCCTAACCAACTGGGCTACCGCGGTTCTAATCGAGCCCGCGAAAGCCCAGTTGGTTAGGGCGTCGGCAGTACTGATGCCGAAGGTCGCAGGTTCAAATCCTGCCTGCGGTGAAATTTTGGAAGTTTTCCAAAAAATTGTTTACAATAAAACAATTTAAATGCATTTTAGTTTTATATTTACGTTTTTAATTAAACCGACGTTTCGTACACGTCAACGGATGCCTATAATAGTACGGACGTTCCAATATTTGACAGCTGTCAAAATCATGTTAATGCTATGACATAAGGTCTATTTTTCTTTGTTTACATGCGTTCTAGTATGGATCTGACAGCTGTAAATTTGGCCTATTCGAATTACCATACTATAAGGTGTTAGACGTCATTATTTGGAATTTAAAATTATTTTGTTCTACCGCCATTTATTTCTTAATTGCCTAGCATAGCGTTCCGGTTGTACGCAGTATGCAGACACCGTGTCTTGTGAAGTAGGTCTTGCAGTGTTGGATCTGGTTCTTCCGCTGTGTAATAAGTGGAGTCAAAGTTGGTGACATACAAACAAAACAAAATAATTATTACTTACCTTGATCTGTTCAGCGGACAGTCCCTTAGACGCGTCAAGTGTGGTCACCCTATCGGGCCCCGGGGGTGTCAATGCAGTAGATACAGTAAACCTTGTGATACTGAATGGACGGAAGTGTGGTCACCCTTACCTTCAACAGAAGTGTGGTCACCTCATTTGGTCAGTGGGGTGTCAATGCAGTAGCTACAGTAAACCTTGTAACACTATGATAGAAGTGTGGTCACCCTTACCTTCAACAGAAGTGTGGTCACCCTTACCTTCAACAGAAGTGTGGTCACCTCATTTGGTCAGTGGGGTGTCAATGCAGTAGCTACAGTATACCTTGTAACACTGATTGTGACAGAAGTGTGGTCACCCTTACCTTCAACAGAAGTGTGGTCACCCCATTTGGTCCTGGAGGTGTCAATGCAGTCACTACAGTAAACCTTATTTATAACACTATGACAGAAGTATGGTCACCCTTACCTTAATCTGTTCAGCGGACAGTCCCTTAGACGCGTCAAGTGTGGCCACCCCATCTGACCCGGGGGTGTCAATGTAAACCTTGTTACACTGTGACAGAAGTATGGTCACCCTACCTTGATCTGTTCAGCGGACAGTCCCTTAGACGCGTCAAGTGTGGTCACCCCATCGGGCCCCGGGGGTGTCAATGCAGTAGCTAAAGCTTATAATACTGTGACATACTTTGTGAAGTGTGGTCACCCTTACCTTCAACTGATCAGCAGACAGTCCCTTAGACGCGTCAAGTGTGGTCACCCCGTCGGGCCCCGGGGGTGTCAATGCAGTAGCTAAAGCTTATAATACTGTGACATACTTTGTGAAGTGTGGTCACCCTTACCTTCAACTGATCAGCAGACAGTCCCTTAGACGCGTCAAGTGTGGTCACCCCATCGGGCCCCGGGGGTGTCAATGTAAACCTTGTTACACTGTGACAGAAGTATGGTCACCCTACCTTGATCTGTTCAGCGGACAGTCCCTTAGACGCGTCAAGTGTGGTCACCCCATCGGGCCCCGGGGGTGTCAATGCAGTAGCTAAAGCTTATAATACTGTGACATACTTTGTGAAGTGTGGTCACCCTTACCTTCAACTATTCAGCGCACAGTCCCTTAGACGCGTCAAGTGTGGTCACCCCATCGGGCCCCGGGGGTGTCAATGCAGTAGCTAAAGCTTATAATACTGTGACATACTTTGTGAAGTGTGGTCACCCTTACCTTCAACTGATCAGCAGACAGTCCCTTAGACGCGTCAAGTGTGGTCACCCCATCGGGCCCCGGGGGTGTCAATGCAGTCGCTACAGCCAAAGCTTGTAAAACTGACTGTTCTGCTAGACCTATACGAAGTTTGCCTTCTAGCGACCTAAGGAAAAAAACACATATTCTAAATTAGTGAATTTTTGTAAACTAGCGGTTTCATCCGCCGCAACTTATTTTCCCATGGAAATAAGACGTTTTTTCAGCATATATTATACAAATAACTTTCCCTTGAACCACTATATTTATTAATAAAAATCGTATCAAAGTCCGCTGCGTAGTTTAGAAGGACAGAGAAACACAAAACGCGAGTTACTTTTATACTATGTATTGACAAGATAATATGGATTGTGTGGTATATAGCCCTTCGAATACTTATAGGGTACATGCTTATCATGAAACTGAACAACTTCCCCTTAGAAACATATAACAGGAAGCGGAAAAAAATCGTGATGATGATGAGGGAGGGTAGCACCTATGCTCTCATCACTTAAAAACATATAGCTCAATGAAAAAATATACAGGGTGTTAGGGACGGTGTAACGAAAACTTTGCAGGCATGACCAGACCATCAAACTGAACAACTTTTACTATGGAGCCAATGGTGGGAAACGAAAAAAAAATCCGGTCTCCCATAAAAAGTCAGTCAATCAGCTGATCGTGAATTTTGTATGGGAGGTTGGAATTTTTTTTTCGTTTCCCACCATTGGCTCCATGGCCATGCCTGCAAAGTTTTCGTTACACTGTCCCTAACACCCCGTATATTAAGAATCCGCTTGTCAAGATTGCAGTAAATACTCAAGCTTATTTAAAGAATATAGTATAAATAAAAATGGTTCCGTGTAGTAACAGATAGCAAAATGTGCTAGAAGTTATTTTTAAACGGCATTCTGTACATAAGCTTCAGTATCTGTGCCTGCCTGCTTCAATCTCGACCAGCGGATTTTCGTTAACTTCCCATCAAACTTTTCATATCACAGACAGTTTGACGCCGCAACAAACTAATCTCTGACGAAAACCAATACATACGTAAAATTGCACCACAATTTGCAATATTTATGAAGCGGTTCCTTATTTCGTCTATAGCTGCCAAGACTCGTTAGCTCAGTTGGTCAGAGCGCCGATATACAATTCATGTTTCTTCCTTAGAAGCGAGCCAAACACATAAATCGGAGGTCGGAGGTTCGAATCCTTCACGAGTCAGACTTTTGATTTTTTCAATTTGTTTTCTTAGTTTGTTTCTGTCTTTTTTTGTTCTCAAACCAGCATAAGTTGGTGGTGTAAATAGCAATTTTTACAGCCGTTTAAGCTCTGCCTACCCCGCAAGGAATATAGGCATGATAGATGTATGTATGTTTAAGTTGGTCCTTTAAATAAGTAGGCAGATGTTGTGACGAAGGTTTGCAAGTCATTTACGGTGCTATGGTGCAGTAGGTATGTCATTCATATAAGGTGTAAAAAAATCAACTGCAAATATTTTAAGGGGTGCACCAGCCCATGAAAGTGAATAACTTTTACCATTGAACATAGGTCGAAACTGGTCGTGGTCTATGACTTAGGACATGCCTTCCATGGGAACTTGTATAAGTTAAGGTAAAAATGTTTATCAAACAGTTCGTCCCATCGCCAGACGGCATGGCGCCGCGAGTTTGTTGTTGAGAAAAAAGAAGATAAATAATGGTATTGCACAATATTTTGCAATTTGCATCAAGCGGTTCCTTATTTCGCCTGTAACTGCCAAGACTCGTTAGCTCAGTTGGTTAGAGCGCCGATACACAATTCATGTTTCTTAGACAAGACGAGCCAAACGTTCAATACATCGGAGGTCGGAGGTTCGAATCCTTCACGAGTCATACTTTTTTTACAGCTTAATTTTTTTCTTGATTTTCTTTTCTGTACAACAGTAGCCGCTAACCAACCGCTAGAAAAATACATAGCTACCTGTAAAATAGTAGCCGCTAGCCAACCGCTAGAAAAATACATAGGTACCTACGAATATTTTCAACGATAGGAACAAAACAGCTTCTTTAGGTCTGCTGGAAGTTTGTTTTTTTAGAAATAAGCAGTACCAGTTGTACAATTTTTCCCAATGACCATGATGTATTGTGTACCCTTTTACCTTTACATCCACAACACTTCATTGCTGAACACGAGCCTCCCCCTACTGGCGGGTATTTCCCCTCACCACGCTTGGCAGGCGGATTGGCGAGCGTAGTGCAAGATATTTAATTCACAGGGAATTGCCTATTCCCTGAAAATTAACCCTTAGTCGCTTTTTACGACACCCACGGGTATAATCGGGGAGTTGTGTATAATAAATAGTTTAATTAATAAAAAAAATAAAAACACAAGATCTGCACGCACGAACGCAGATCATTACAAGATTTGATTTACATGAGGATAACGAACGTTTTTATTCGTGATGTCTAGGTATATGTAAACGTAGGTGCGTTCGTGCAGTCACAACACAGATGGCATGGCGCCTTGTAGATGTGAAAATGAAAAGATACGTTGATGAGAAAACCATATTGCACAATATTTTGCAATTTGCATCAAGCGGTTCCTAATTTAACTGTAGCCTGACAAGACTCGTTAGCTCAGTTGGTAAGAGCGCCGATTTTAAGAAACAAAACATACCTAAACATACATCGGAGGTCGGAGGTTCGAATCCTTCACGAGTCAGACTTTTTTGTGTGACTCGTTTTTTTTTGGGGCTGAAAGGAATATTACTCATTTTGAACGATATTTTTACGAGCAAAAAACTGAAAGTCGGTTATTTGCATACTTACATACTTACATATATCACGCCAGTGTCCCTTGCGGGGTATAGCAGAGCGTAATAGGCACTAAACGGCATTTTTTTAAAATTATTTAGAAGACTGTAATCACCATAGTGACAGCTGTTCGGCTAAAATTGCATTACACATCAACTCTGAAATCCCTCATTAGCTTCTTACGATACCCACGGGAAAGATATGGGATGATGCTATTCTAAGCCGGCACCACACGGCAAACAAACGTGTCCACCCCGCAAGGCACAAAGACGTGATATGTGTATGTATGAGCAACACTAGGCAGCATGGCGCCTTTTTGATGACAAAATAAGAAGATACGTAATTATTGCACAATATTTTGCAATTTGCATCAAGTGGTTCCAAATTTAGCTGTAGCCCGACAAGACTCGTTAGCTCAGTTGGTAAGAGCGCCGATTTAAAGAAAAAATAAATGAACCTACACATACATCGGAGGTCGGAGGTTCGAATCCTTCACGAGTCAGACTTCTTTTGTTTTTTTACAGGTTTATTTCCGTAATTACACAATTTTTTATTTTTCTGTAATACAGGGTGTTAGGGACGGTGTACCGAAAACTTTGCAGGCATGATCAGACCATCAAACTGAACAACTTTTACTATGGAGCCAATGGTGGGATACGAAAAAAAATTTCCGTACTCCCATACAAAATTCACGATCAGCTGACTGACTTTGTATGGGAGATCGGAAATTTTTTTTCGTTTCCCACCATTGGCTCCATAGTAAAAGTTGTTCAGTTTCATGGTCAGAGCACGCCTGCAAAGTTTTCGTTACACCGTCCCTAACACCCCGTATAATAGTAAATAAAGACAGAGAATGACAAAAATGAAGAGATTTCTACGCCATAGAACCTTTAAAATTTATCAATGTTGCCGATTTAGAATAGCATCACTCCATTTCGTTCTCGCGGGCGTCGTAACTGGCAGGTACTCGACCCGACTATTTCATGTGTATTAACAATATCAGACGATGGTCTGACGACCTGACATTAAATTGATAACCCATATTCTAAAATGATCCGTAAATATATGATTGACATGTTTTTAGTTTTTACTGCCGCTCTGCCTACCCCGTAAGGGGTGCCCGTCAGGCACAGGTTAGCAAAGGCTGGGAAGCTTACACATGTAATGGGGCCTTCGATATATAATAAGTTGCCTGATGAAATTACTACGGCAGCCCAGTGATAGCACTTTTCAAATAAAATTAAAACGCTTAGTACGGGTCCTTAGCTGGAAGTATGGTCCCATCTGGCAGAAATCATGAAACTTGGCATGTGTGTAGCTTACATGTGTAAGCTTCAGGAAAAGAAGGGAAGCCACTTGGACCCCCCCTGCTTCCCCCCTTTACCCCCCCTTTTATGTCCCAATTTTCAGTTATCTTTATTTTTCTCGGAAACGATTAAAGATAGGAGAAATTTGTCAAGGTAAGATAAATATTTCTTATAAAATTGTCTACATAATTGTTCTTGGATAGATTTTGATAGGACTTATTGTTTTCACTTTCGATTGTTCTAGAGAGGTTAGGCCAGGGCTTCGAACTGAAAAGTTATCTAAACCTGCGACAACAAGTGGAAGAAATACTAAGGCTACAAACAGGAGACAGGCAAGGACTTACATGGGTGGCAGCTGCTTGATGATACGATTTAAACCATATTTTTTGTGTTTTATTCACTCGCGAGTGAAGGGGCTCGGCCGAGCACAACGGTTTGACAGCAGGAACACAAACATGGCGTCACGTTTCGATGTTGCACGAGTGTTTCCGCTTAGCTAAATGCGTTTCGTTGCAGAAGGAATTTAGGAATAAAACTTGGATGGGATAGTTATAGAAGGACAGTTCGCAAACCATAACATCTCTCCCCACTTGAAATCAACTAGGGATTTCATAAGATAACATCACGATTCAAAGACCTAGACGTCTCAGAAACAGCAAAGTGTTCAATTGAAACATAAACTAACAATTAAAAAAAAAAATTCTAACCCAAAAGGTCTATTCAGTAACTTGACCAAGTCATGCGGGCAATTACCGTTGATTCTTAGAAACTAGAATTAAATTTATAATATAAAATCAGAATTCAAAGTCCAAGCTCAAAGCGGTTACTTAAAAGAAAAAACTTTGAATCCCAATTTCAATTCGACCCTACGTTAGAATTAGTTAGACGAAGTAGACGGCAAAAGACATATTTTTACTATTGGTCGGACCAATAAACCTTTGGCCGTCTTTATAGTCACTACGCGTACTATATTGTCTTTTCCAGGATGAGTTTGCATAATACGTCCGAGTCTCCATTCGGTTGGAGGTAAATTTGGATCTTTAATCATGACTACGTCACCAACGGTTGGGACGTTCGTTCCGTCTGAGTACCATTTGTTTTTCTGTTGTAAGGTGTGAAGGTAATCGCGCTGCCAAATGCGCCAGAAAGTTTGGGATAGTCGCTGAACCATCTGCCAGCGAGTGCGAAGATTACCCTTTGTTTTTTCAAAATTTTGCTCAGGTAGAGCCACTATTGGTCTCCCAACAAGGAAATGACCAGCCGTGAGTACATCTACTTCATTGGGGTCGGTTGAAAGCTCACAAAGTGGGCGAGAATTGAGCATCGCTTCAACTTTAGTTAGTAGTGTATAAAATTCTTCAAACGTTAGAACTTGCGTGCCAACTACCCGTTTGAGATGGTATTTTGTGGACTTGATACCGCTTTCAAAAATACCTCCGAAATGAGGAGCAGACGCAGGATTTAATTTCCATGTTATGCCTTTAGAAGCTAGAAAGGTAGAAATCTCCTCATCTCCGGCCTTCAGCATTTCAGTGATTTCGGAGGTACCGTTTAGCGCCTACAAAATTGGTTCCGCGATCCGATATGATAGTACTGCATAGGCCGCGTCGACTAACAAATCGTTCCAGCGCTGCAATAAAGGCTTCTGTAGATAGCTCCGTGACCAGTTCCAAATGGACGGCCTTGACAGAAAGGCAAACAAATAGACAAATATAAGCCTTGTATGTTTTAGCATTGCGTCTACGACTCTCTTTGACTGTATAGGGGCCTCCGAGATCAATACCGACGTTCTTGAAGCAGCTTCCTTCCTCCACGCGTAGTGAAGGGAGATCAGCCATAGTTGCTTGACAAGCAACGGGCTTGACTTTGAAACAGGTCACACATTTTGCCAAGCGAGATCGGATTAGGTTGCGGATGCCGAGGATCCAATATTCGCGCTGAACCAAAGATTGCAAGACTCGAGGTCCGCAGTGCAAAAATTTCTTGTGATAGAAATCAACAATCATTTGCGACAAAGGAGATTTCTTTGGCAAAATGTACGGATGTTTAGTCTTTTCAGGCACGGATGCATTTTCGAGTCGTCCTCCTACTCGAAACAAACCTTGAGAATCAACATATGGAGAAAGTTTTTTCAGGCTTTTGGGAAGGCCTTTATAATCTCGAATAGCAGACGAATCGAAGGCGGTCGACTGGACATGTCTGATAATGGTCCTCAACGCTGTGGTTAATTCGACACAAGTGAGAGGACCATTGATCAGACTTTCTCTTTGATTGATCGTTTTGTGTTGTTTATAAACCTTAGGCACCACGCCAAGACACGTTGCAGACGCGATAACGAGGAGAAACGTTCCATCAGCGTTTGAAACACCTCGACGTTACCTGGTTCCATTGATTGAACCAGGAGTGAGGTTGATTTCAATTCTGGAATTGGACTGCATGTTTCGACATCACGTTGCGCGGGCCAGTTTGATTGCTCTTTTCGAAGCCACTGGGGGCCAGACCACCACGCATCGCAATGTACCAGTTCTTCACAAGTTAGACCACGACTGCAATAATCGGCTGGATTGTCGTGAGTGGAAACGTGCCGCCATTGGGACTGATGAATAGCATCACTTATTTTGACCACACGGTGAGCCACAAATGTTTTCAGTTTATGTGGTGCCGTTTTTAACCACGACAACACAGTGGAACTGTCAGAAAAGGCGATCACCTGGGTGAGATTCAATTTGGAACTAAGAGTGTTCGCCATGTGCTTGAGAACTTGCGCAAGTAATGCTGCTCCGCACAGTTCAAGTCTATTAACCGTCAGAGGTTTTAATGGGGCTACTTTTGATTTCGCAATCAAGAGCTTCACCTGGATATCTCCGTCGGGTGATGTTGATCTCAGGTAGACACAACAACCGTACGCCTTGGTAGAACCATCGCAGAAACCTATAAGCTGGGCATCGACTGCGTTTGAAGTTACCGCGTGACGGGGAATTCGAATATTCGGTAGATTATTTAAGTCCTGGACAAATTTTCGCCAATCGTTAGATATATCTCGAGGAATTTCTTCGTCCCAGTTGAGTTGAAGGCGCCACAAATTTTGAAGAATTAATTTGGCAGTTAATACGTAAGGCGTAACCCAACCTAATGGATCAAAGATCCGAGCAACGTTAGACAAAATTGAACGTTTTGTAAACTCGATGTCTACGTGGGAGACAGAGTACGTAAAGCATCAGCTTGAGGATCCCATTGGATACCTAGAATTTTTAAGACTGAGCGACTGTCATCTTCAGCAAAAACCTTCGGCGCTTGACAGTGTTCAACCGGTAACTTTTCTAGGAAATCGGTGCTATTGCTTGTCCACTTTCTAAGCTCAAGCTTGGCGCAGTTCAACATGTTGATAAGTTCGTTTTTAATTTCCAGAGCGCTCTCAACGCTGTCTGATCCGTAAGTGATATCATCCATATAGGTATGATGACGTAAAGCGTCAGCTGCACGAGGCCACTGCGCACCATGATCCGCGGCAAGCTGATGTAAAGTGCGTATCGCTAAGTAGGGTGAACTCGTCACACCGTACGTAACGGTACGCAGCTCAAAATCTTGAACACCATCGGCA